AATGCAAAACGGCAAAACTGCCAATGATGTGGTGCAATGGGGACATGAAAGTATGTGTCCCTCAAGTCAACCAAGGTGAACCAGCCGCCTGGGGAGATTGTCTGAAGCACATCCCTTATGCTCAACATGTGGAAGGGGGACGTCTTCAAGAAAACATTCAGACCTATCAGGTCCAAAATCAGCCGGAGTCAGAGAGTCTTTTTTGGGAATAAAAAATACCTTGAGCAAACTCCCCCTGGAACCCGCAGGGGGTCGACAGGCAATATAGCACCCTTGGCCAGCAAGGCATCTATGTCTTGGCTCAGAGTCTGAGCCTTTATCTCGTCATGAATCACCTTCATCCTTACTCGACCAGGAACATGAAGGCGGCGGCGGAACTGTTGGGTGTAACCCGGGTAAGTGTAGACACCAACCATAGATCGGGAACGAGAGAGGCCCAGCAACTGAGCTGGTCCGGGGTAAAGTGTCCCACCGTCAGCTCACCATCAACAACTCTTTTATCACCCAAAAAAACAAAAACTTAGGGTTGTGTTTGACTGTGGGGCCACATTACAGGTGACTCCCTTAAACTCCCTGCTGCTACAAGGTCCTGATCTTACGAATCAACTAGACCATTTCCTGATCAGACTCCGAAAATAATATCCCTCCCTCACAAAACGCATGCTTGTAGCAACAGTGGAGAGGAAATCTCCCTCTTAACAGAAAGAATCCTCCAGCAGAACTCGGCTTAGAGCAAGCGGCCATCATGTGAGGCCGACTGGGGTTCAAATAGATAGTGGACAGTGGATCAGTATTCTATCCCTCATATATACTGTAGGTAGCTGTAGTCAACCTGACTGATTATTAACTTTTAATAAAGCCTAACCTTGGAAAAATCTCGGCTGCTGTCCGGTCTAGGAATTACGGGTGTCTGTGGGTGAATTGAGCTGCAGGTAGTGGGTAGATTGCTGTGAGGTTAGGAGAAACCAGTGATTAATTTTAAGGGGGGGAATAACACATGAATTACACACGCACAAACACACACAGAATCTAGGGCAAGTATTGTAAATCAGCCACAAACGCCACATTGCTGAGCCCTGAAAAAGCTGTGCTCTTTTCTTATGACTAAAGTTGCTTATAATTTTTTTTTCTAGTGCATTATGAAAAATAAGAAAGTATGTCTCTCAGTGGTGCAAATTAGTTTAAAACAAGCTTGTTTTCATTAAGTAAATAGTAAAAGTAAGTAAAGTCACTCACAGTGGATGGTGTATCCAGAAAATTTTTTTCAGACTTCAGTAAGTTATCAAATACAGTGCTGTTAAAAAAAAAAAATATTGAGATCCTAAAACAAATGTTGAGATGATTAGAACATTTTTCTTATTTTGAGTTAAATAAATTTAAAAAAATCATCCGAACCAATATTGCCGTATTTAATAAATCTAATGACAGTTCATTTACTCAGCTGTGAATTATCAGGTTTTTTTTACTCAGTGAATTACTTCCAGACCTGCCGAGTCTGGAAATCTTCCAACTAGGACTTGCCTGACAGCACGAAGTAGGCTCCTAAATGGCAAACATCAACAGATTAAGCCCTGACCTAAAGAAACTTAAGAACACATAAGTAGCAAAGTCATGGACATCAATCATAGTCATCATTGTTCATAATCATTTAAGAAGCTGTTTCTGCGTAGAACATCAAAGGCCTTTTTCCATTAGTTATCCGCTAATGAAACAGTTTGTTTAATTCTGGGGCCTCTGACTAGTGGATCTGGGCATCGGACCCCTATGAGCAAAGGACAGACCCAGGAAATTTAAAACAAACTAAAAAAACATGCTGAGTCTTAAACCAATATGATGACAGGGAGTTTTCTTAGAGCCTCTATTAACAAAAAGTCTCATTTTAGATCACAGATGAGAAAAAAATGCATTAGGTTAAAGATCTTGGCAATAAAATAAATACATTATCTAGATTGAGGAGGGAGCCAAACATGCTTTATTATTTGTATTTACGTCTTTCTAGCAGACGTCATGTAAGGTTCCACCTGAGCGATAGGTCAGCTAAACTTTACATGAACCTAGAGGAACACTTGGTAGTTCCTAACTCTGAGTGCAGCATTTAGACTCCATTAATAATTCGCTCCATTATTAATTCGGCTGAAGCAAAATGTCTCTGATCAGAGCTTCAGCTGTGAGAAGCAAAATTTCAGCCTTTGAAAAATTAAAGAAAACGAGATCTTTGAGTTAAAAATTCTGGTTTCTTTTAGTCCTTAGGTGTGAGTGTGTGTGCATGGTTGTACATCTTCCTATGTCTCTGTGTTGCCCTGCGACAGACTGGCAACCTGTCCAGGGTGCACCTGCCTCTCACCCTTAGACTGACGGGGAAAGGCACCAAACCACCGCAAACCTGACAGAATAAGCAGGCAAAGGTGGATGAATGCGTGGTTTCTTTTGATATAAACATCTTTTAAGTCTGAATAACTGTAGTTCTGAACCTTTTAATCACACAGTAGCCAATATTTTTTAATAAAACCAGAAACATTTAATTTCAATAACCAAACAAACTTTATTGATCTTTTAAAACACAACCACTATTGAGCTTCTTTAAATATAAACTGGCTGAATTATATTAAAAATATTTTGTATCAAAAAAATAATCTGAAACCTCCGACTAAAAAAAACATTTGTTAATTCATTCATTAAAACAGAACACATAAGTTTACTTTTTTCCTGTCAAAGAAAGTCACCTTGTGCTGAAAATAATTCGTCCTGTGAGCAGACGTGCTGCTCGGGGTCTAAACTAAGAGTAAATGATACATTAGAAATAAGCAGCTAAAATCATAACATTCAGCCTTTCAATATATTAAGTAAAGATTTCTTTAAATGTTATTATTATTTAGGAAGGAAGCAAATGCTGGCAAAGAAATGGAAAAAAAAAATAAAATAAAATGTGCTTTTGTTTCTGTCTTCTTGGCTGAATTAACTTAAAGAAAATGTACTTTTGTTTCTGTCTTCTTGGCTGAATTAACCTGAGCTCAGTTGTTTTATAAACTGTCTGTTTTATCTTCTGCTCTGCTCAGGTGGTAGGCAGCGCATCCTGGGTACATCCATCCAAAGACTTCTTTTCTCCCTTTTTTGGCCGACGTCTTCCTCTGCTTTTGGTTCGTTTTTGGGGCGCTTCCTTCTCATTGGGTTGTTTATTTTCTGCTGAGTCATCAGCAGAGGCTTCGGCGTCCTGTGCTGCGGTATTAATCTCCGCCTTCTCCTGCTTTATGTTCGTCAGTGGTCTGTTCTCCACAGCGAGCCCGCTGATAGGACTTTTGTCTGGCTTGTCGATGCCTTCATTGCTTCTTTTGGCGACCTTCTTGAGATCATGGATGTAGTTCTTCCTCTCGATGCAGTGACCTCTGCTGCTATTGAAGAGCTCCAGAGCCGCTTCAGGATCAACCCCGTCCACATCGATCAGGTATCTGCAAATCAGGTATCCCGTACGGTTCAGGCCGTGAGTGCAGTGGACTCCGATTAACTTGTTGTTGTTTTGGTTCTCATTCAGGAACTGCTTCACCGCCCGCTTAAAGCCGAGGATGGTAGCATCAGAGGGAACTCTGTGACCCTCGGTGAAGATCTTGATGTAGGAGCAGGACTGTGGGACGTCTTCCACCGAGTAGTACCTCGTGGTAAAGGTGAGATCCACGATCAGACCCAGCTCTTGGTTTTGCCGTTCCACGGAGTCCAAGAGGTCCCACAGACTAAAAGACTGAGAATCTGGAACTTGACAATTCAAGGATGGTTTTAAAGGAACCTTGAAGGCAATAAATCTAGTTCCTGGTATCCTCCGCCCTACAGGGCAGTAGTCCAGCCACCGATCAGGTATGCCCTTTTTGTGATTCTTCTTTTTCTTCTGTTGAGCCATATAGGCTGCTTCGAGGTGTCAGTTGATTCTTGAAGCGGCGCTAAAACACAGAACAGAAAGTGGCATAAGAACCCAAAAGCAGCAATTTCAGCATTAACCAACAGCCAAAGCTTCCCCCACCATATTCATGACTCTTAAACATGAATAGTGAATAGTCTGAATTAAGTTGTAAGAGATAAGTTATAAAACTTATTATTTAAAGGATTTATAGCAGGATTATTAAACAGGATTATTGCACATGGATATTTATATATATATATAGTCATGCATTATGTGTCAGATATAGAGAAACAGGTTATTGCACAGGGTATCAAATAGAAATTTAATCGATCAATAAATCTCTTTCACTTTTGACACTTTTGTCTCCTAGTAATGGAGAAAAAACTATTTGCTTGTGTTGGATGCAGCCAAAAAGAAGATCAAAATCCTCCAATGATCAATAATTTCTAACAACAAATGTAAACAAAAAACATTTTTTCAGAACGTAAACACAAATCATTGCAAATATAGTAATATCAAATCCAGTGAAATGAAACCAGCTGGACACAACCTGTCTGACATTGACAATAAATAAACACCAGGATGAGATCAAACACCAGTTTAATCTAACTCACCTGAGGAAGAATAACATTTTTATCAACAAAACAGTCTGTTGGAATGTGTATTTCCCGCTTTCATTTATTATTATCATTATTATTATCAATATTTATAACTCACAAAAGTTATTATTATTATTGTTGTTATTATTAGGACAATAAAAACCCTGTAATTGTCCTTATAGTGTCCATATTTGCATTAACTAAAACGTCAATCATTTGCCGAACTTAGCAGAAGATAATAATAAAAAAGAAACAAAAATAAATCAGATATTTAAATGTATTTAACTCGTCACATGATTGGGTTTAAGCATTATTAGGTTTTTCTATGGGAGTTTGGTAAATGTGTCCAACTCGCCGAAGCAACGAGGCATCAAACATGGCGTTTAAATAATTGACGAATAGCAATGTAATATATTAAAATGTTGTGATATACTCACTTAATTTCGCTTTGTTTTGGAAGGTAGCCTAAACTGAGTAGCCAGCAATTCAACCACACGTTTCCGCTTTTCCCCGGAAATGACGTTAACTCTGTCCCGGAAGTTCATCCTTCTGTTTACATTTTGCTCTTTGGTTCAGCTGGAAATCTTCTTAAAAAAATGTCAAAAAGGCGGCTAGTGAGCAACAGCCTGAAGGTCTCCATAGAGCAGCAGCTGGCGGCATTAGCCTCCGGGATCTTGGGGCTGCTGGAGGAGCGCCGCCAGGCGGAGGTGGAGGAGCTGCGGGGGCTGCTGATGGAGCGGGTCGCAGCGGCCGTGGAGCTGATCCTCTCCGCCTTTGAAGTGAACAAAGCGGCCGAGGGCGGGAGAGGAGGCCGTGGAGAGGAGCGACAAGGTCCGTAAGCTCACACGGTGTGCTGTAATTGTGGCTGCGTGTGTTTATATCTACCAGCTGTGCTCAATTAGAAAATGGAAACTTTCTTTGCAAAGCAGCTTGGATCAAGTCAAATGGAGAGCCACCGTTTCTATTTGATTTGGGTCTTCAACAGGGGGTCCGCGACCCCTAGGGGGCCCACAGAGGTACTGCATGGGGGTCGCAAAAGTTTTGCTGATTAGATTTTTTTTTTATATTATCCCCCTTCCAATTATTTCCACTAATTGAAATGTTAGTCACCTGGGCTCTCTTGAAGTCTTTCAATCAGATGGGCATGGATTGGTGCAACTGAAGACAATGTTGGAGTTTCTCTCATTTCATGACAACAGCTGCATCTTTCATGGGCTTCATAGCTGTAACTATTTTTTCTGCAGCTGCATGACTGACTTAATTACTTTGTTTTCTACAAGACATTTGAGCTTTGATGAGCTCCGATAGCTCAATGTGAAAAACAGCTTTTACCAGTCTGTTCCTCTGCTTAGTTTTGATGTGGGTCACAGCTCAAGGCGAACTCAAACATATAAGAAAAATGTACTCTTTGGTTGATAAAAGCTTGATTCATTTTTCAGTTGGGGTCTCATTAAGAAAAGCAGCCCTATTTCTTTTAACTACCTAAAACATTTAATATTTTGGATGTACCCCTTGCAATGCACTCACAGACCACTAGGGGTAGAAGTACCACGGGTTGGGAATCACTGCTTTAGGGAAAAATCAATAATAGGAGCTTAAAGATAGATATATCAGGCAGTCAAAATCTGCAGTATATTGTAAAATAATTTTTTGCTCACACTCCATTCCTTATCTTGGTTTATTATTTTAGATTACACAAGAAATTGAGGGGAAAAAAAATTTCTGAAAAAGGCATTTAAAATCGTCACCACTGACTAAATGCAAAAGGTTTCGTGCACTTTATGACGGGTAGTATTATCATTGTTTGTTTTTTGTTTGTGTTTTTGCAGAATTGCATCTCTCTGTTGGAGTTAGGGGTCAATCTTTTGGCATCTCAGGGGAGGAGAAGCTGCCAGGTTCCACTTCCAGTCTGCAGATTGCCTCCAAGATTGACCAGCAAGCAACTTCTCCAGACAATGACACAGCAGAGGAGGAGGGGGGCGATGCCATCGCAGCGGATGAAACATCTCACAGCTGCAGGGTCTGCAGCAAATCCTTCGACACAAAAGGCTTTTTGATCAAACATGTGGAGAAACACACAATGGAAGACGAGCGTCGATGCGGCGTGTGTGCGGAAACCTTGGAGTCCAGTGACGAGCTAAAGCAGCATCTTCAAACTCACCGCACCACCTGCAAGGTCTGTGACATCTGTGATAAGAAGTTCCCGACAATCCGAGCAAAGGAGACGCACATGAGGCAGCACACTGGTGAGAAATCATATACCTGTCACCTCTGTGACAAAGGCTTCAGTCAGAAGGAAATCATGGTGACTCACCTGCAAAGTCATATGGAAGAAAAGTCCTCTGAAGATCCAGTTCACAAGGTTCCATTAGAGCAAGACACGATGGCCAGCAGTGAACAGATGGCATTCAGCTGCAAAGACTGTGGAAGAGGCTTCCTAACAAGGTCGGAGCTGAGGCGGCATGCTCAAAACCACAACCAGCGAACCGAGAGGAGCAAACGCAGAAAACCAAGTCTGACTCCTACACACTGCTGCAAAGTCTGTGGAAATGCATTTCACAATAAAGGGAACCTACTGCGGCACACTGAGACACATCTGAACCACCCAGACTTCCTTTGTGGCGTCTGTGGAGAGCGGGCCGAGTCCTCAGAGAGCCTGCAGCTCCACATCCAGGATCACAGAGAAATAAAGAAGGTCTGCGAGATTTGTGGAGACAACTTTAGGGACATGGAGATCCACATGAGGACACACACTGGTCAAAAGCCATTCAGGTGCAAAGACTGCTGCAAGGATTTCCCAAGGAAAAGCTCTTTGGAGCGACACCTGAAGCTGCACGCGGGCGAGAGGCCGTACATCTGCGAGTTCTGTGGGAAGACTTTTATCGAAAACACCGTTCTTAAGAGACACATCAAGAGCCACACGGGGGGGAAGCCCAGAATTTATCCCTGTGAAATCTGCGGCAAGAAGTTCACCATGAGCCAACATTTGGACGTTCACAAGAGGATCCACACGGGGGAGAAGCCTTTCCCCTGTAAGGTCTGTGGCAAGACGTTCAGGCAGATCGGCAACCTGGACTCCCACATGAGGATCCACACGGGCGAGAAGCCGTTCATATGCAGCCTCTGCGGAAAAACCTTTCGGCAGAAGATCTCGCTGGAGACACACGAGCGGTTCCACAAGAAGGAAAAGGCGTTTGACTGCCAGGTCTGCGAAAAGGGCTTTGTGCAGAAGATCGACCTGAAGAGGCACATGCTGACACACACCGGTGAGAAACCCTTTAGGTGCCAGGTGTGTGGAAAGGGCTACCAGGAAAAACGCTCACTGGAGTCCCACAAGAAGGTCCACGCAGGAGAACGAGCTGCCAAGAACCCAGCTGTGACAGAACCAAAGCAGCAACCAGAGGAGGAGGTCCAACCCCAGTTGCTTCTGCTGTGAGCTGCATGATGAGACAGGTGGACAGTCACACCAGGCTGACAGGAAGTTTATCTGGGGAAAAAATGTACAAAACTGCAGTCCTGATCTCAAATAGCAGCCTGCTTCCTGTGCTTTCTAAAATGGCCAATTTGCTCCACTTCAAGCACTTCAGTCAATTAAAGCAGCTAGATTGAATCTTTTCACCTACTTCAGCATCTAATTGCTGCTTCTAAAGAAATGCAAAGCTTTCAAAACGGTTTATAATAATTTATTTCTTAAAAAAAGTTCAGAAAATGTTTCTGACCTAAAACTGGGAAGTTTAGAAAAGCTTCAGCATTAATCCCTCTGATTCCATTTTCTTACAGTAACAGAAACATTTTATAGCTTTTTAATTCTTGCTTTATTGAAATATTTAGCTTTCAGACGGTTGCTAACCATCTAAAAGGTTTCCTGTGCTTTCGCTGCTCTGGCTTAATTACAACCCAAGCAGCCATTTGTCACATAAAATAATAAGTGTAATAAGTTTTGCCTGAGTGAAAATGTACTTTATCAAACTACTACAATTAAAAAAACTTTCTAAGATGAGGTTGCAATACAGAAAACCTGAAAAATACAATACCTTATATGGCAAATGTTCAGGAGTCATGCTATCAAACAATTTGTGTGACTTTGATTCAGATATTCGTAAACCACAATGCCATCAGATAAGAACAAATCAGCAAACAGGGGAGCAGATATTTAAAAAATAATATAAAGCAGGACATTGTCTGGTTTTAATACCTAAATGTGCAGCAAAAAGTGAGGTTAGACAAGATGTAGCTGCTGTAGGGAAATTGTGGCCTAGTGGATGGGGCTTAGCGCTTGGAATCCAGAGGTTCTAAGTTCAAGCCCCACTCCCACAGACTACTACACTGGGTCCCTGAGCAAGACCCTTTATTCACTCGTGTAAAGTCGGGCCCCACTTGGTAGAATTCGGAAATGCAACAGTTGGAACAGCCGCTTCCCTACAACTTTAACCCCACACTGCTCACAGGGCACCGCACAATGGCTGCCCACTGCTCCAAGGGGATGGGTTAAACCCAGAATTCATTTCGTTGCTTTTTACTTGTGACAGTTGAAAGTTTAATTCTGTTCTTTAAGAAAATGAAAGAATGTTTTATCAGTAATCTCCTCCCATGGAAAGCTTTTTATATTTTCTACAGGAGCGTTAGTAACTTGATCTTTTAGGGACAGTTTATAGGAGTTTCTCTCTGGTAGCATTTCAGTGCTCTTAGAGGCCACGCTGAGCCCAGACACTGAACACATCATGAAGTCAGACTGTTTCTGAAGCAGTTGTTGGAGGCAGTTAGCGGATAAAGACTTAATAATAGGCCATCAGCTCCAAAAACAGAAAAAATTATAATTTGGCTCTAGGTAGATCATCTTCACCATGGCTAAACTGTTGTCAGAGCTGTATTTGTGTCATGGAAACGATCTTTTTAAATTCTTGTATTTATTCAAATTTGCGGAATTCATGTTTCTAAAGTAACTTTAGGACCTAAACATGGAGTATGGCCCTCCTGTAGATCTGTCTTTCAACGGCTTATTCACGGTCACAGGTAATTTCTCGTTACTGTTTTCATTCAAGGAACTTTGCTGCATTAATGATTTTGTGTGCTTATATATACTGTATATTGCAAAGCTTAGCAATGAGTTTATCGGCAAAAAGATGATAAAAAAAAAAAACTTCCTGGATATTTGGACTGACTGGTTGTTGTTTAGAAGCGACGTGGAGGGACCCCCGCCCGGGCCTGCGTCCTTTAAGGACCGACTCGCACAACAAGTACCGGACTCGGGCTCTACGTCTCAACTACAACAACATCAAGGACCTGAGTGACCTTGAATTCACGCTGAACCACTTCCTGGTAGAGCCATCCATGCTGGGCTGGCTCGACTTGTCCTTCAACAAAATGACCGGAATCGATGATGTAAGACTCGGTTTCAGTTAATGCTTTTTCATTATTTGCTCATTTGCTAAGCAGGATTAACATTTTACGGATTCAATCACTGTTCCTCTTTTGACTCGACTTGTTTCTTACCTGTCTTTGCAACATTCAATCTGTTTTCATTTTAAATAAGCAACTTACTGTCGAATTCTAAGCCTGATGTACTGTTTTATTTATTTCTTCATCTTTAAATAATATTTGCAGTTGACACGAGTGTCTGTATGTGCATTTCAGGTTTTATGTCAGTTGAATGAACTGCGTATTTTGTATCTTCATGGCAACAACATCCGTTACCTGAATGAAGTGAACAAGCTGAGCAAGCTGACTCATCTGCACAATCTGACACTGCATGGCAATGCTATTGATAAACACAAGGGCTACAGGTGATTTGCTTTAACCGTCAACCATTTTAATTCTATTTGAATGTATAATTATGGTTATAACACAATTAATACCCATTTAACAACAGTGGTGTTTCAGATACAAACTCTGGTGAAGGTTTAGGGGGGTTTAATGTCTCCGTAGTTCCAGCAAAGTAAAACCCCTGGTCTATCTTGGTCGAGCGATTTGACAAGAAAGTCATGAGTTACCAAGAAAGAGAGGCAAGGTGGCAAACAAGAATGCATCCATGGGCAGGCTATATCTTAGTTTTACTATATACAATAAAGCTAAGATATAATCCTACCACCTGGTCAAAGTAGCTTTACAGCAATCTTTAAATTTGCCAGCATGTTTCGTCAGAGGAATGGTTATACCACCATTCTGATGTGGCCCAGCCAGAATCCTGCTTGATAGTTAGGAAACTTTCTGGCCTCAATAATTTGGAGTTGATTAAGAAATTAATAGATAATATAAATTATCCAGATACAAACAGTTAACAGGTGTAGAAAGGCTGAACATGAAAGTAAAAGTCTGAACTTTTTGTGTCCAGGGTCTGTGGGGTCTGCAGAGACGTTAGCCGACCTCAGACCTGTACAGATAGAAGAAAGGTCATCTCTGATGGTCCTCTCTGAAAACCTGATTTTTGTAGTTCACTTTTCAACCAAGTTGGAATACGTATTTCATAATTTAGCATCCTCAAATTTGCCAAACTGAGTAGGTATCAGATGCTTATTTTATTATGCTTCTTTTATTTTATGTAAACTAACATATTGGAGAAATTATTACAATAAAAAGTAGTTGTATCTCAGAATTATTGATAAAAAAAAATCTTTAAAAAAAAAAGCAACTAATGTCTACCAATGTGCACATTTTACTGTTTTTGAGGAACCATGTTGTTTCGGTGTTGCCTCACCTGAAGAGGTTGGACTTCAGCGCTGTGACCAAGCAGGAGAGGGTGTTGGCCAAAGATTGGTCTACGAGCCTCAAGCTGTACAAAAAACACAAGAGCAACGCACAGACAGATGACTAAACACTCAACGAGGCAGTCCTGAAACAGTGTTTCCGCAATAAATCCATCATAAACACTTAAAAAAAAATTACAGGCCATTCCAGATTTTATTTTATATCTTAAAAAGATGAATCCCATCCATCATTTTAATATTTCCTTTCAGTGACTCTATCACCTTATCCAACCTCCTATTAGATCTTTGGTCCATCCTCACAAAAAGTGCACCTTAATATGAATATCTTATAAAGTGCAAACAAAAAAAAGCACTATGGTTGGTGAGAGAAGATTCTGCATCAAAAGGTTCCACCAGGTCTGCAACCTGCGGCTCTAGAACCGCTAGTGGCTCTTTGGACCTTCTTTGATAGACTAGAAACAATAAAGAACAAAGTCATGTTTTTAGATACAGATAGAACAATAAATGCATATATAGTCTATCAGGTTTACATGTATGTGGTTTTCAATATCCACCAGGAGAGAAAGAAATGCATGCATCTTTCTTCAATATATTTTTCTGGAATCTGAAGTTTGAAATAGAACTGTTTTTTTATAGCAATGACAACTAATTCATTGAATTATTAATCAATTTAAAATATGTTGTCTCTTTTCAAAAGGTCTATATTAGGAAAGCTTCCCTCCAATTTCTCTTTCAGTGACTCAAACACTCTTACGTATGGAAGCCCGTTTCCACCACTCTGTAAAAAAAAAAAAAAAAAATTATCTCATAATAATATAGTATCTCATTATATAGAGTTACTATCTCATTATAATGAGATACTATATATGAGTTACTATCTCATTATAATGAGATACTATATATGAGTTACTATCTTATAATTAGACACTATCTCATGATAATGAGATAGTAACTCAATATAATGAGATAGTAACTCATTATATTGAGTTACTATCTCATTATAATGAGATAATTTTTATTTTTTAATAGAGTGGCGGAAACGGTCTTCCATACTAGGCAACACGGACCTTCAACTCCCTACACAAATGTTCTATAAGGTTGATGTCTGGGGACTGGCTAGGCCACTGCAGGTTGTTGAAATGCTTTTGTGTGTGTATAATTTTTCAAATATATACTGGACTCTTCCGGTCCAGCAGGGGTCGCTGTTTCACTCCTATGCTTTGAATTTATTAAACGGAAGCGTTTTCCATAGGATTGTGTTTACATGTTCCGAGGTTCTCTGTGGTTTCTGCGGCTCCGAGAACTCAGACTGCGGCGCAATGAGCTCCTTCCAGCTGCTGCGGATGTCGGTACACGAGCGAATCAGCGCCGCCGCTGAAGACGTCCTGCAGCAGCTAGAACACGGGAAGGAAGCGGCTAAACTCCGGACACAGAGAGCCCTGTTAACCGCCCGGCTAACAGCTGCGGCGGAGGAAATCTTCGTTCTGTTTAAGGAAACTTTGGCCGAATACGAGCAGAGACTGCGGCGGTCTGAGGAGGAGATCTGCCGCCAGAGGAAGCAGCTGGACATTCTGCTGAAACCTGAAGTCAGACTGAACAGATCTGAGCAATCACAGCTTTTTAAAGGCGCTGCGACACCTGCAGCCTGCGGTTACCTATCCAGTTCCGGTCAACTTCACAATAAAAGCCCGTCAGATCAAAGTGAAGAAGAGGAGACTGAAAACAGAGGTAGGAACAACATGGATTAATTAAATTATACCTATAATCATGTATATATATATATATATACATACACACACACATTCTGCTAAAAAAAATTAAAGGAACACTTTGAAAACACATCAGATCTCAATGGGGGGAAAAAAATCATGCTGTTTATTTATACTGATATGGACTGGGGGATGTGTTAGGAACCAAAGGATGCCACATCATTTGATGGAAATGAAAATTATCAACCTACAGAGGGCTGAATTCAAAGACACCCAAAAAATTACAGTGAAAAAATTATGCAGCAGGCTAGTCCCTTTTGCTGAAACTTCATTGCAGCAACTCAAAATGGTATTCAGTAATTTGTATGGCCCCCACGTGCCTGTATGCATGCCTGACAATGTCGGGGAATGCTCTTAATGAGATGACTGATGGCTTCCTCAGGTCCTAGATCTGGACCAGGGCATCACTGAGCTCCTGGACAGTCTGAGGTGCAACCTGGCGGTGTCAGATGGATCGAAACATTTTATTTCTTTTTATTTATTTTACCTTTATTTTACCAGGAAGTTCCTTAAGATAAAATCTCTTTTTCGAGGGAGACCTGGCCATAAACATAATATCCCAGAGGTGTTCTATTGGATTTAGGTTAGGCGAGCGTGGGGGCCAAACAATGATATCAATTCCTTCATCCTCCAGGAACTGCCTGCATACTCTGCATTGTCGTGCACCAGGAGGAACCCAGGACTCACTGCACCATCATAGGGTCTGACAATGGGTGCGGGGAATTCATCCTGACACCTAATGGCAGTCAGGGTGCCGTTGTCTAGCCGGTATAGGTCTGTTCGTCCCTCCATTGATATGCCTCCCCAGACCATCAGTGACCAACCACCAAACCGGTCATGCTGAACGATGTTACAGGCAGCATAACGTTCTCCATGGCTTCTCCAGACCCTTTCACGTCTGTCACACGTGCTCAGGGTGAACCTGCTCTCATCTATGAATAGCACAGGGTGATCGAGCTCCACGGTGCCGGGCAGTTCGCACAGGGCCTACTAGAGGATGTCGGGCCCTCAGGTCACCCTGGTGAAGTCTGTTTCTGATGTTTGGTCAGAGACATTAACACCAGTGGCCTGCTGGAGGTCATTTTGTAGGGCTCTGGCAGTGCTCCTCCTGCTCCTCCTTGCACAAAGGAGCAGATACCAGTCCTGCTGATGGGTTGTAGTCCTTCTGCGGCCCTGTCCAGCTCTCCTGGAGTAACTGCCTGTCTCCTGAAATCTCCTATGTGCTCTTGAGATTGTGCTGGGAGACACAGCAAAACTTCTGGCAATGGCACGTATTGATGTGCCATCCTGTAGGGGATGGACTACCCCGTTTCATGCTTTAACCTGAGTTATTACTTTGAATGTGCTGGGAGACACAGCAAAACTTCTGGCAATGGCACGTATTGATGTGCCATCCTGTAGGGGATGGACTACCCCGTTTCATGCTTTAACCTGAGTTATTACTTTGAAGTTGCTGGCCCCTCAGCATTTTTATCTCAATTGTTAGAACTACGTGGGAAACTGCCCAGAACTGAAAATATATATATATTTTCCGAAGATTCCTCGGAGGAGAGCCGCGCCGGGGCCTACACAGCTGGTACTCCTGCGGGTGTGAGCGGCTGAGATGATAAAAAAAAAAAAGTTGGTTGTGTTATCAGACTTCGTTTTCACTGGTTCCCGACACATTTTACAGATGACTGTGGTTTGTTTTTGGTCCGACTTGCCATGACCGAAATACTGCCAAACTGCCGAACTACAAAAACCCTTCTTTGAAACAATTTCCTCCGCCTCTCCTTGCTGCACAGCTTCATGTGCTCTGTGTTGTGGTTTGGGAGGGCGGCGCTTGGTGACGGCGTGCCTGGGTCCGCGATTGTGATTGGTTGGGAGGAAGCAGTGACTAGCATAAACCTACATGCTAGGCTACAATGAGAAGGAAGGAAAACCGCGTTTCTTTTTTATCGAACTTTTATCGACCCTCTTTTTTTCTATTGCGCCACACGTCTATCGATCGATATATCGTTATTGAATTATCGCCCAGCCCTAAATTAACTTGATGCTATACTCTGATTACAAAGTGTTCCTTTAATTTTTTTGAGTATGTATATATATATATATATATATATATATATATATACGGTATATATATATATATATATATATACGGTATATATATGTATATACGGTATATATATGTGCGTGTGTGTGTGTGTGTATGAATGTGTGTATGATTAATAAATCTAAATACATTTCTATCATTGAAAATATCTCCACCTTGGGTTATTTTTCATATATCTTTACACAGTGGTAGATTCATATTTCAATGCTGAAGTGAGTGTTCCTATTATTTTAAATACCTGTTTAGAAAATGTGTATGATGGGGAGGTCAGTCTTCAAAACTGTTTGTTCCTTTGATCTTTAAAGTCTGATCACATGTGTGACTTTTTTCTTTTCAGACCTTCTAAAAATCGTGACCTTAGATGACTCAGACCTTCCACCTCAGTTCAACCCACCAAACCTAAGTCGTTTTGAGTCCGATCATAACATCAGCGACGCTTCCTGCCCGTCATCACCACGCTCTTCTTCCCCATCCTACCACGAGCCAGCCTCTGAGACCACCGATGAGGACGACGACTGGATGGACAGTCTGCCTCTCCGATCCGAAGGCAGAAGGAAAAGAGGAAGGCCCTTTGGGTCAGGTGGGAAAAAGAAGAGAGGTCAGCATTTCGGATCTGTTGGGAGACAAGAAAGAAGTCAGCCTGTAGGAGCTGTTGAGAAAAAGAAGCGAGGTCGGCCTCTTGGATCTCTTGGGAAAAAAAAGAGAGAGCTTTTGGGTCTTGAACCTGTAGGGGAAGTGAAGAAACGAAAGAGGGCACCTCCTACAGAGAGTTTCAGCTGTTACGTCTGCGGGCGTCTTTGTCCTGGAAAAGGCTTCCTTCTGCAGCACGCTCTCAGGGTGTGTAGCAGCAACCCGGAGTGCCGCTGCGGCTTCTGTGGAGAGCTTTCAGATTCTGCTGACAGTCTGATGGCTCACCTGCAGGCTCACCAGCAGAACACCAAAACATGCTCCATCTGTGGGAAAACATTCACCTCCATCAGGGCGCAGGAGTTGCACTTCCGCATCCACACTGGAGAAAAGCCACACGCATGCCCCAAATGTGACAAAATGTTCAGACAGAAGACTAACCTGGTGTCTCACATGCTGGTCCACGCTGCAGAAAAGCCTTTCAAATGTAAGAAGTGCCCCCGGGCCTTCTGCCACTTGACATCCTTGGAGCGCCACATGGAGGAGCACAATGAAGAGCTGATCATCTCCTGCAGCCTTTGCAATCAGGCGTTTAGCAAGCGGAAAGATCTGCGTAAACACATGGCGACCACTCATGGGGACATTATTCCTAAAACCAATAAAGGTCGCACTTCAGTGGTGTCCAACTGCAAAGTGTGTGGGCAGGCTTTTGACCGGAAGATTCTGTTAGTCAGACACGCAGGGACTCATGGGCAGGACCCCAACTGCTGCTGCGGGGTTTGTGGAAGCCAGTTTGACTCTATCGACAGCCTCAACACTCACCTGCGCTTCCATCGGGTCGCTGCCAGAACCTGTGAAACCTGCGGGAAATCCTTCCCAGGTCGATCAGCGCTGTTGATGCACTTAAGAATCCACACAGGAGAGAAACCCTTCACCTGCAGCTTCTGCGAAAAGGCCTTCAACCAGATTGGCAACTTAAAAATGCACATGAGGATCCATACAGGCGAGCGGGCCTTTTCATGCAGCATCTGCGGAAAGGGCTTCACCCAGAAAAACAGCCTGGACACCCACATCCGCTTCCACAACAAGGAGAGGCGTTTCCTGTGCCAGGTGTGCGGGAAAGGCTTCATGCAGGATGTGGACCTGAAGAGACACATCCTTATCCACACGGGAGAGAGGCCGTACGTATGCAGGATCTGTGGGAAGAGCTTCCAGGCCAGGCGGTCGCTCAACGGTCACATCAAAGTGCATGAAGCCAGCGGTAATGTGGACTACGCAGAGGAAGAGAGGGTGGAGAGTTATTTTCCTGAGAACTTCCAGCTTTAGACCAGGACCTTTTCTGCATTTAGGGATGTTCTTTCCAAACTGTTTCCAGAACTGCTGAAAAAATAGTTGGATTAGGAAAAGACCTGCTCTGCTTTTTGTTCAGATGCAGATGGTCTATAAGGATACAGCAGTCAGGTTTCTCCTTGGATCCATAGTTCTGTTTTTCTTTGTTTTCTGATCTGCTGATCTGAACGCTTGACTGATTAATTTAGTTTTTCTAAGTGCAAACTTAAAAAATGGAAAAAATGTCAGTTCCATAATAGGGTGAGAAGTTTTTGGCTCTGAAAATGAAGGAATTACCAGATCATCAACGGTTGTGCATCAAAGAGTCTTTACCTGTATCACTCAGAGCCGATCTGGGGAAGTCTGCCAACTGATCTGTACACCTCTAGAATCAAGCAGAAAGGCTTTCCTTAAAAATGACTAAAGATAAGGCATCCTGATGATTAAAATCCATCTTTTTTGTGGTGATTAATGTTAAATAGAGATTTGCTGAATCCTGAATAAACGCCACCTGAAATACCAAGGTATGTTAGATATTTTAGGGGACATATTTAGAGTTCTCATCATAGTAATTCCACCTAAATTCCCCATAGAGTTTGTGATAATAATAAATAAACCTCCATTTGACCTGAGATGTAGACCATGCACCCACTCAGACAGTTGGTTCAAAGTAATTTTAATAATCTGCTCACAGTAAGGAAACGTTTAACAGTGTGGACATGTGCATGTCATAAAATCTCGCCCTCAATGCCTTTAAATCATAAACTAAATATGTCTGCATTCATACAAAAGCAGAAGTAAGAGCCAACTGCAATGAAAATAAAACAAAAGAAGTATTTACCTCCCTGCATATCAGCTGAAGTGCGATTAACAATAGTATAGAATGTGTTCAATCATAGTCGTACGCGTCAACTGGGGTCTGCTAAGATCTATTACTGGTTTGTCTCTGTGATGGTATCAGTTTAAAAATTTTGCTCTATCTTCTGGATGTTTTTGTTTTTACACTACAAACATTTTCTCTCCTTTGGATTGTTTTTATTTCTGGGAGAGTCTCCACACTTCACTACACCTATGTTTACAACGAATCCAGTGGAGAGCAAATAAAATGATTGTTAGTCGTTGAAAAGAAATTTGAAAAAAAGATTATTTTTTCACATAATTATAAACACTGTTTTTATTTGTTTTGTTTTGGCTTTTAATTTTATTTTAAAGGCGCTGATCAAAGATCATCATATTTATCTGTGGTTATAAGACACTAAAACAGGCTAATGAAACTTCTGATGCTGGTTCTAATATAGCTAAAACATATTTGTTTCCATTGAAATATATATTTTTTTTCTTTTCCAACAATTGCTAGACTGAGCATTGAAGCGTCGTCACTGATGTTTATGGATGATGTTTGTTCTCTGTCACCCATACGGGCCCGTCCGCATCACCTTCTTTTAATCATTATGTACATTATGGGTCACAAGTTAGCCTGGTTTTACTGAACAGAAGCCGTCAACTGTTTGTTTTTCCATATCTTTGCATGCAGACATGCATTTCTGTTTTATAGGCTTTACCAGTTCAGCAGCATGTTCTTCTGAATTGGATTAAACTAAAAGAGTGATGTTTTGTGACACTACGGGAGGTTGTAATATGTCAATTGTATGATGAGCTTTTGTCTTTTTCTGTTTTATTGGCCTCTGTAATCTGTCTGGGATTCTTTGTGAGATGGACAGACGTGCCCAGTTCATAATTGTGAATCAGATTTCTTGTGTTTTAGTAAAAGTTTATTTCATTGTGAGAAATAGTGTTTGTTTTTTTTTCTTTTACAGATAGTTTCCATTATTTTTGGGCTTCCAAAATGTGAGACTTGAAATCTATGTGTGTTTCTCTCCAGAATTAGAGACAAAACCCGTTTTCAAGTTGTTGTTTTTTTACACAAATCTGTCGTAATGAAGACAAAGTATGAGAAAAACAGTTATTTAAAAAAATAAATAGATTATAGAGAAATACCAAGAAATTAGCTGCTACCTAAAAGCCAACCATTGTCATCTTCATCCCCCTGATCGCTGGTGCTGTTAACACACTGCAAAAAATATAAATCTAAGTAAGTCAGTTCTTAAGTGCATTTTTTTTCTTGAAAGGAGTAGGTAAGTGAGACATTTTGCAAATGGATTAAGGCAATTTCCATTTAAAATAAGAAAAAACAACAGCAGTGTCTTATTTCAAGTGCATAATGTCTGGTTTGAATGCTTAGAGGACTAATAAGAAACTAATGAGTTGTTAACCGATACTTACTGGGGCGTACGCAGCCCATCATTATTATGTGACTGCTGCTGAATGATTAGGGAGACACAAAGTCATTTGGGAACTAATTTGTAGTTACTAAGAAAATAAAGAGTTACTAAACAGAAATTAAAGTATAGTTAATAACAAAACCAAAGAGAAACTAGTCAGGAACTAAAGGATAGTTAACCAGTACTTATTTAGAGACTACTGGTTCATTACCCCAAGATTAGATTATAAATACTCAGCGTTGGTTCTAAATAAACCCTAAACCTTTGAAGTCAGAGCTGACGAAACAATACTTTACTTAGTATCAAATTATTGCCTTGCTATTATGTTGCTTAATTTTCTGAGTCAAGCAACATTTCATGTATTTACTAGGACCAAATAATGACCTGCTCAGTAGCTGACCATTTTCTGAGGCTTATCTACCCTAGAGTAAAGTGAAACATCATATGAAATAGTTACTGTGGGAGTATTCATTACTTAATAACTAGCTGACCATTAACTAATATTTTAGTGTACTCATAAGTAAAGTGAAACTACCCATTAGTTCTGGATTAATTAGTCTGTGTTTCCTAGGTAACTGAGCAGTAGTCCCATAATGGGCTGGCTGTTCCCCAGTAAGTTTATTATTCGTCCTCTGGTAGTTAATCATATTTTGCGACCTCCTTGTAAAGTTGAAACAGCTGAAGCATTTCATTTTTTCAAAGAAGGTGGAAGACATCTATGAGGTGTAAATACTAAAAGCGCTATTTTTATTTTACTATTGTGAATGTTTAGTGGAAATGACCCACTGAAATCGTTGGGCGTGTTTAGCGACCTCCTTCCTGCAGGGGGCGCTCCTCCTTTCTGTGACCTGCGATCAGGCCTTTGATGAACTGGACTGATTTAGAAACAACAACTACTATTTTCCTTCCTGCAGCCCCGGGAGAACGGGACTCAGTCCCGGGATGAATCTATCAGTGTTTCCTCAGAGCTTCGGACTCCGGTCTCTGACCGACTCACTGTCTGAGCTCCTTTCTAAAGTCAGTGAAGACATTTTGGAAGCGCTGGAGATTCGAGGCGGTGAAGCCAGCTCGGTTCGGGGCTTGGTGGAGCTGCTGCGGCCGCTTCTTGCGGACGGAATGGCAGCAGCTGTGCAGCGGATTGTCATCCTGCTGGAGGGCGAGGTGGAGGTTTACCGGCTGCAGCTGGAGCGGCAGAACCGGCTGCTAGAGGCCGTCCTAAGCCCGGTGGTCCGACTGAAACAGATCGGTGAGCTGCATCACAGGGAGGTTGTTGCTAGGCAACCAGAGGCCAATCAAAACTAAGCTTCTTTTTACGAGTTTTATCCATAAGAAAAAAAAATTATAAATCTGTTAATATGCTCTGTCTAGAACTCATGTGGAAAAAGTTTAAGTTTCACCCGGTTTCATTCTGTAATAAAATCTTTTTTGTGGAACCTTCTGCTATTAATCTATTAATTGAGAAAATAATGAACAGATTGCATTATGGGATAAAAGTCCATAAATGGACGCACTTACCTGCTGTTAAGGAGATGTTTACCACCCTAGATTTATTGTAGAAATAGAATGAATAGATCCGCCCCTATGGATTGACCAAATTTTCACAGATACTCTGATCTATTTTCTTTAGTATCAGGGTTGGTACAGGTATTAATATTGAAGCAGTGCATCTCTAGTTTATAAGTGTGTTGCATATTGATCAGAAAAAAATGTTACATATTTCTGACATTTTGTCAAACTGTCTGAAACTGTGTTACATTAAAGGTTATGATAGACTTTAACTTTCTAAATCAGAAGCAACAAAAATTATTTAAGTTAGACTTTTGATAATTAAAGTCAATTTAGAGTCATTATACACATTATATATTGTAAGAAATTTAGTAAAAATGTCCAGGTGTCTTACAATTCCCATAAATTGAAGATTATATAATGATATTTAACTATTAAAAAAAAATTCTAAAATCAAAAACGGAATACAATTATTTGAAATTATTCTAGAATCCTTTAAAGACATTTTTACATTTCGATAAATCAAATTTTGGTCAACAATGAGTTAATATTGTTCCTTAACCAAATTAAAAATAACATGATATTTTTAAGACAAACACCTGGTTATGTCACTATGGTAACCTGAACTGAGCTTACCAACCTGCTCAGCAACATACTCTATATCTAAGCTTAAAACTTGTATATTCCTGCATATCTATAAGCCAAATGGTGCCATCAGAAGCTGTTTGTGAAAAATTTGAAATATAATGTGTTGTGTTGATTTGAAGGTAAATGTTCCTCTTTAATTCAAAGTATATTCAGTAATGTAAAAATGAATAAAAGTTCTATATATATTGATATAAAACTGAACTAATATTCTTTAAAATTGTGTTTTATTGCATAACAATTCTGTTTGACTTATTTAATTTGGTATTTAATTACAATTCTACAATTTGAGTTGTTTTTTGTTTTTTTTAATGCTCCGCATATCTGGTGCTTGAACAAACTAGAGTAGTGATTTCTAATGTCAAATGGTGGGAGAACAAAACTCCCAGGTATTTATTAGAAGCACTGGAACTGATGTGGACTGGCTGTGTCCTGTTTCATTGTTTCCTGACACCCAGTGGCAGCAAACAGCGTCTATATCTCCTTGCACTTTGCTCAGGCCTAGACTAATGTAGCCTAGACCACCTGGGATCCTCTCACTGAGAAGTTCTGAGTGACCTGTGTCACTGTAAGTCGCAGAAGAATTGGTTTGCCATTAATCCTCCAACAAGATTTCTGTTTAAACCACCATTTTTATTTGTTTATTAAATTTGGAGAGGGTGGGAGCCATATGTCACACACTGAGCTGCAAGAATATTGAGGTGTTTCAGCTGCAGTTTCCGTTCTATATTTTCACCATAAACCGTTAATAAAGATGATTATAAAACAGGATTAATAAGCTAAATGCATTTGACACCAGATATTTAGTGTTTGCTATTCAATTTACCTTATTTATATAGTTCACAACACCTGTCATCTTAAGGCGTTTTACAGAGACAACTCTCTCAGTCTCACAAAAACTTTTTAACATAACGTTTTAATTAACATGGTTACCAAAAATACAGAGTAATAGATTTTTTTTTTTCAAATTTTCTTTTTTTAACATTTGAATAAGATTACGATGACTTTTAAACATTTGGGAGAGCTTTGGTGATGTTTTCAGAGCTTTGTCAGCTTCTAAAAAGTCAATTTACAGCTTATAAGTTAATTAGAGACACACCCATGGAAATATCAGAGAGAGAATCGTTTGGCTAAAACAATTTATTTCATCCATAGGTTCAGTTTCCAGATGCCTGATATCTATGATAATCTGTTAAGTAATGATATGTGTCTAAACACCGTTGAAATGTCTGGCCTTTATACCATTCAGGAAGGAAACCGGGTCTCTGTCCCAGATGTGAAATGTGAGGCAAAGCTGGAAGAAAAGCAAAACGCCTCCATATCCTTCATTCTCCACAGTGTAACAAGTCCTGCACTGATGATTGCTAAAAGTCCACTCAGAAAGGAAGAAGCATTACTCTGTAAGGCAAAAACATAGGTTGCAACTTTTTTCAGAGACATTTTATGTAGTCTGCTGAGACCATGGTTACATTTGGAGGAAAAAATGGGTCTTCTTTCAGCTAAGGACACCACCCTAATGTGGAACAAACACATTAGGGTGCTGAAATTTAGGTTGGAAACAATTTACTAATGCAGTGCCACAGTTTAGGTAAAAAAAACTCAAACTCTATATACCACAAACCTGACTCTGTATCAGCAGCTTGTAAAGCAATGCTCAAAACCTGAAGCTTCAGTGAGAGGAAAAACTGTTGGTTGGATTTTTCATACATTGCAGAAAGATATCTGATTTCATCTGTTTATTTTTCATCTCATCATTTACAATTTCTGAGAAATCTGTTAGCCTGCTGCTTCGACAAGGCTAAAAATATGCCCAGATCAAATGATAGCATCATTACTTTATTTGATTCTGAGTAGCAGTGATTTAAACATGAACCAAAACTAGACTTAGACTGTACAAAGTAACCAAGAATAAAGCTTTATGCCACAACTAAAATGGACTTATTTGCACATCTGAAATTCTTCTGCAGCATTCCTCTCTTGTCCTGATTGTGATAAAAAACATTTTTATTACTGATGCCTGGCTGATACCAATTTCCTGTTTTCTTCGAGGTCTAAGTCCAAGAGTCCTATTATCTTTCCAGGAACTATAAACACACACTGTAGACTTTATTCTAAAGCACCAAATAAAGAAAACCAGCATTAAACAAACAAAAACAAAAAGAGTTTCATTCTGAAACCAACAGAAAGTAAAAAGGAACGTAAAGATAATCATGTTTTATGATTCCATAACCCAAACTGGCTTTCTTTAAACTAAGTTGTAACTTTTAGGTCTCGTCATTCGGATTTCTGTTTGGACTTTAACTGGGTCATTCTAGCCTATAAATATTATTTCGTCTAATCAGGATTTTTCTTTCTTTCAACCATAAATTTCTTCACACCCAGCTTTCATAAAGGGCTTTTATTTCACCTAAGCTGTGGATCTCTGCAGCTCCTCCAGTGTTACCATCGGACCCTTCACCACTTATATTCTCCTCTCACCAGTCATATTCTATACTTTATTGCAGACACAGGAAAGGTCCAATTTGGTTAAAAAGAAAAACAACAACAAAAACAAGATGTAAAAATATAAAAAGACTTTAATTTGGATTCTCTCCAACT